TTTTTGATTTCGATTCTATTCCTGTCACTTCCTGTCACCTTGGTCTGCGAATTGCGATTCTCCGACCCGTCCTCCACGAGCGCTGTCTGAAAATAATTCTTGTTTGGGTTTCGTCTTCATCGCCTCCATCACCATCATCTACCGGCGTTGCCCTGCGTTGGATATCCCAAACCCATCTGTTTTTTTTCTCTTCACATACCATGGCGACTACACAGGTTTCTCCAGACATGCCTAAACCGTCGTTTGCCAAGGTACGTGACAGCGGCTTCTCTCCATCTTGGTCATGTTTGCCCAGTACTGATACCCAATGTGCGATTCAGGTCGCGGCCACTGTCACCAAGGAAGCTGCGCCGACAGAGCCCACCGCCAAAATTGAGTCAAATGCTCCCTCAACAGCCGTCATTGCCGACGGCTCCTCTAGCCCAGAGAGCAAACGAGCCGCAGCACCCAAGTCGAATGGTGTTGCTGTTGTCGCCTCATCTCTCAATGGCCTCAACATCGCATCAAAAGTTCCTAGCCTAGTTGTTGATGGACGTGGCCCTGTATCCGAACCAGAGCCCCGACGATCAAATCCGGGCAAAGATAGTGGCTCAGACGATTCTCAGAAATGCGATTCTAGCTCAGATTTGGGCACGAAGCCACCAAGCTTGGATGGGAAGAGTATTACATCTGGGACGACATTCGCTCTCGACGAGAAAGAGTCACTACGTCCAGACGACAGTGCCAGTGTTCAGGCTGCAGCAGAAGACGACGACACCTTTTCCATTCGTGGCTCGCTGGTCGCTGGGTCTCGAATGAGCTCAGACGTGGCTCTCAGGAACAAGTGTATACCATCAGGAGAACTGGCTGAGCGAAGGGCGGCACACGTAGCGATGGGTGTGCCTCCTCATGGTATTCTCACACCGCAGAGCGCTTCATCTGAACGCGGTCCACCTCTGGCCGCTGCTGTACCCCTGAGTACCGATGGATCACCCGATGCTTTGAATGTCATATACCGGCAGGCTCCGGATGAAAAGCTTCTAGATGCTTTGGCAAGCCCTAGGGATCGGTATTTCTTACTTCGACTGGAAAAAGACGTAATTGACTTCGTCCAAGACTCCAAGTAAGTTTCTACCTCCACTCACATACACCGCAACTTGACACAGCTAACACACTTCACAGGGAGCCATATATGGACTTGCCGCCATCCAATTCATTTTGTAGAATGCTGACACATAAACTGGCCGATTATTATCACATGACACATTCTTATGAACCTCACATTGGCTCGGTCCGAATCTTTAGAACTCCCTTCTGTCGTGTCCCGCCCTCGTTGGCTACCATGGCCCCTCAATCCAACCCATCTTCAAGTAGCACGCCGCCACCCGCAGTCCTGCCCAGGAAGATCATGCGGCGTGGTCAAGATGGTGAGGGTTTGATGAGCGCCAATGCCTCAAAGCCTACATCAGAGTCGGGCAGTGAGATCAAAGATGCCAAGCTGGCAGCGAACCCCAAGTAGGTCAACCTTGCCGATTGCCAGAATACCAGGGATGTTAACCGTTTTGATTTAATAGGCTTTCGCGTGAAGAACGCGAGGAGAACTACAAGCTGGCTCGTGAACGTATCTTCGGTAGTTCGGAAGACAGTATCCCAGGTAAACAACCTTACGAATCTGATGAACTCTTTAGAAAAAAGGCATACTAATGAACGAGTATAGAAAATGACGGCGCAACTGGCATGTCTCGCACAAGCTCCATTTCTGCTAGTAACAAGACAGGAAGCACAAAGAGAGGCAAGTCTGGCAAGCAACGGCGAGACGATTCAGACAGTTTCGATTCTCGAAACCAGTATACCCCTTATTGGGGCCCTCAACAACAGACATGGGTATCTCAGTCTCAAGGACAATACGTTCCTTCAGCGTCAGGCCAATTTATTCCTCAGCCTCAGGCTTCATATCCAGCCCAGGTTCCCCTGTCCTATAATCAGCAAACCGCCAATTATGCCAATATGCCTGTCATGGCACCCAACCCAGCCTACCCCGGCTACAGCATGCCCCAAGTATGTAACATTGATCAGATGAAGTCTGACAGATGTGCCTGCTAACAAGCTCTCAAGCAATATCCTCCTCAACCCCCACAACAGCGTTTCCCATCTAGTGGGAGTCCTATGTCAACGTACGGTGCTCCTGTTGCCCCGGGTGCAACAGCGCAGCAGGTTTGGGCACAGCCAGGGTATAATCAGCCCTCTTACCCAACTCGAGTGCCTGCACAGACATCAGGACCGACTCAAGTTGGAATACCTTATGCATACGGACAACTACCTGTCAATGCTAACCCCAATGACCCAAAAAGCCAGCACCCCATCCCTGGTAGCTACAATAGGAACCACGCCTTCAACCCAAAGACTCAGTCATTTGTTCCTGGTGGAAATGGCATGCCCATCGTGCCGCCTCCGCAGCCGCCTTTTACGGCTCCCGGGTCACATCACGGTAGCCCACAAATTGGCACTCCACCTCACTTGGCCTATGGAGCCTATCCTCCATCCGTCCCTCAAGCATATGCTGGAGGGTACGTTATGGCACGACAGGGATCAAGCAGCTCCATGCCTGGTTATCACACCGTACCACATGTCCCCTCACCACATATGCAGCAGCCTCAACTACCTCCGATGCCAGCTGTGCCTCTTGGTCCTCCCCAACAGCATATGCCACAGGGTTCTCCGGCTCATATTCCCGGTCGACCTCCAATGCCTGTCCCTCACGGGGCTAGTCAGATATTTACTCATTTGCCTACCTATGGCAACCCGGCTACTTTACCTCAGAAGCCGGCTACTGGGATTTAGGATGCATCATCCGGTGTTAAGGGGCAGCCGGCCGAATCAAACAGGCGCATCTGGGCATGAACGGGTTTCTATTATATCTTCCTTTCCTTGTCTCTCACTCCCACTTCTTTTGCCCCTTCCTTTTTTGGCGTTATTGGTGGATAGGATGAAAAAGAACTCCACGTCTATGTCTTTTCGTAGGGTATACGCATTGTCACTAGATGAAGAGCATTACATTGATAATCATACTATTCCCTTCAATGAAACACTGGATGGCGATTTAAAATTCCCATTTTAATTTTTTTATGGTTCTAAAGTCTCAGTTACCGAATTAAATACGGCTGACCACAACGCCATGATGATGTGTTATATGGCACGGTGCCCAGGTTCCCTGCTAAACTCTTCACATCTGCGTTTAAAAAAACATGCAGCGTCCCTTCTTCATAACACCGGGGCACCCTTGGCGTCTTCCTCTGCGTTTCTTTAGCATTGGGAATTCCACCGCACACACTATCATAAAAAACACTGATACTCATGTCCCACATTTTTGTTTATTCCGTAGGTTCCCTCGGTTCACGGGGTTCTCTGGGCTCCCTCGGCTCACGCTGCTGGCCGCCGCTTCTAGCACCGCCACGGCCACCTCGCTTGTTTCCACGCTGACCACCCTTGTCGCCGTCACCCTTGCCCTCGCCGTCCTTCTCGTTACTAACCAGGCTGGCGGTTGCCAGTCGTTGCGAGAGATCGATCTGTGTGCGGATAGTATTGGCCAGGTAGCTGACCATCAGAACGTCCTGGATATGGTTGTTGAAGTCATGCTCGATCTGGGAGGCGTCCACCTTGGGGGTCAGAGACAGGGCGCTCATCAAGTACTGGCCCAGGGCGTTGTTGGGCTCCTCCTCTTCGTCCAGCACACCGTTGATCCACTCGCTCACGCGTTCCAGCAGGTTCAAGGTCTGCTCGATGGATCGCCCGAGACCCTCGATATCTGAGACCAGAGGCGCAGTCCTGTTCTCGTTGTTTTGTGCGCTGGCGACGGCCTCGAGGGCAACGCGCTCAGAGTCACCGTAGAGGAACTTGTGGGGGACCTGGATGAAGAGACAGCTTTCGGCGGCGCGCTCGGCGCTGACGGCAACGGGGGCGCTGATGTAGCATCTGGTCTGGATGTCCTCGCCGGGCTCGGTGGAAATGGTCATGTGGACGGCCGGGTGAGGGGCCGTGCCTGTCTCGGCGCTGGCGAAGAAGTTCTGGATCAAGGCGCTGAAGCTGTTGAGTTCGGGGGAGGTGGTGTACCAGCCGAGGAGGGCTTCGCGGGGAGAAGCCTTGAGCGTCAGGGCGAGCATGTTCTTCTGGTATTCAACGTCGACTTCGACCTGGTCCTCCTCTTCGGTGTGGGGGATGGCGAAGCAGGAGCGGACTTCGACTTCGGTGCCATCTTCGGAGCGGGTGCCGACGAGGGCACCGATCACACGGGTCGACTGGGCATTTTCGCGGTTGTCTCGTCGGACGGCGTGGTCGAGGACCGAGAGGATAGCCTGTTTTGAAGGGAAGAAGGACAAGATTAGCACGGCGTCTTGTATTGATAGGACCAGCCCAGGATGATTCAGATGAGACCAAAGATTTTTATGGGCTAGCAGGAGGGTCGTGATATGTACCTGAGGCTGGATGTTGACGACAAGCGGGGCAATGCTCGACTGAAGCCCGGCGTTGGCGTGCGTCAAAGGACGCGCGAGGTGTATGAAGCGCTCGGTAGCGGCGGCGGCCATACTGGGCAACAAGGATATCGACACGAAGCGGCGTTCGTTCGTTCGAGGATGCGGGATGGGCGTGGAGGGGGGCGGGAGGTTGAAGCAAAAGTCGAGGGCCCGCTTCGTCTTGTTCTGGGCCGTTCAGTTTGTTCGCGATGCCCACCTTTCAGTTTTCGCCGATTTTTCGATTTGCACGGTTTGGCTGGGCTCTGGCTGGGGTTGTGCGCACCGATAAGCCACGATAAGGGAAGCGTGGCTGAGCCCCCACCATGGCTGTGGCTGGGCGCGGCTGTCTTTCGCCAATGCAAGGCTGCGAGTGAAGTTTGAACTTTTTTAGCGGGTCTGCCTTCTGGGTGTTACTTTATTTACTGCGTGGTGGCCGGCTGCCTTTTTTTCTTTTTTGTCCGCCGATTAGCTGACTTTGTTTGCTCATATTCTTCCTTAGTTTGATACGTAATGGGACCACGTGGAAGAGGCGGCAACTTTAGAGGCAGAGGAGGACGAGGGGCCCGTGGAGGACGTGGCAGAGGAAGAGGATTCAGTCGCTATGGGCCCATGAGGCGGTTTGAAGGCGACCGCCTGGCAGATAGGGATGAGTAAGTCCTTTAATATTATTTGGAGTCCGAAGTCGGTATTATAGTATGGAAATTTACAAGCCAATTAGGGAAACCGAGTCGGAATCGGGAGGTGATTCTCAGGATGAGCAAGACGATGCGTTGGCCGACAGCGCTTCTGATGACGAGGAGGAAACGCCAGCTGCTCGGCCATATATGGCTCTATTGCAGAGTTTCAATGACTCCAGTGCCCCCACAGCAAAGAGGCGGAAATTAGATCATAGTGATTACTCACAACAAGCCGACAGCTCTAAAGATGAGGACATAGAGGCAGCAAGTGATCAGGATCAGGAGGACGTGGATGAGGTTGATGAGGCTGAGGATGTCGACAACAATGGCAATCAACTTGAGGAGGAGGAGCCCGATTCCGAAGATGATGAGGAACTCACTGATCCATTTGACGTTCATTTTGCGCATCCAAATGACCAGGAAGTCGGGAAGGCCGTCAAAGCAGTCAAGAACGACGACTGGGTTACGACGAGGGCGCTTGTTTCATCATTACGAGCTACCATGATGTCTGCTGGCTCTGGTAGCAAGATGGATGTCCCTCATCCTTGCGGTATTGAAGGATTAAAGCTCAAGCAGAAATTGCAGGAGATGGCTTCCAAGAAGATGGATAAGCAGGACGAGACACAGAAGGCGATTCTGCCACTGCTCTTTGGATACAAGGATATTTTCCACTTTGATCGTACGGTGAAGAATGCCACAGGTCTGCGACAAGCGGTGTGTTTACATGCGCTGAATCATGTTTTCAAGTGAGTTTGCTAACCGAGCTCGTTGCGTTATATCATTGGCTAACACTGTTCCAGGACGAGGGATCGTGTTATCAAGAACAGCTACAAGCTAGCCAAGGAAAGCGAGGACACAGAATTAGAACTTCGAGACCAAGGCTTCACCCGGCCCAAGGTTCTCTTCCTACTACCGACGAGAAATTCTTGTGCCAAGATTATCAACATCATCCGCGACATGTGCGACCCCGAACAGCAAGAAAACCGTAAAAGGTTTGAGGACTCATACATTGAAAAAGAATCCAATTTTGGACAAGACAGGCCCGAAGACTTCAGACTCCTCTTTGAAGGCAACGACGACGACATGTTTCGGCTTGGAGTCAAATTCACCCGCAAAACAATCAAGTTTTTCTCCCAGTTTTACAGTTCAGATATCCTTTTCGCTAGTCCCCTGGGTCTCCGAATGGCAATTGGCTCTGAAGAAGAGAAGAAGAAGCCCGACTATGATTTTCTTAGTTCCATTGAAATGGTCATTGTCGACCAGGCCGATGCGCTGCTCATGCAAAACTGGGAACATGTCGAGTACATCTTTGAGCACTTAAACTTGCAACCCAAGGATGCGCATGGTTGTGACTTTAGTCGTCTTCGAAACTGGTATCTCGAAGACTGGGCGAAATACTTCAGACAAACCATTGTTTTGTCTGCTTTCAATACCCCTGAGCTCTCAGAGCTCCAAAGATCATTTTGTCACAACTGGGCTGGAAAGGTTCGCCTGCAGCCCGAATACCACGGCGTGATCCAGCAGCTCGGTATCAAAGCAAAGCAGACCTTTTCCCGGTTTCAGTCGTCATCTGTCGAGAAGGATCCTGACGCTAGATTCGAATACTTTGTCTCGGCCATCGTACCAACCCTGGTCAAGCGTGTCAAGGACACGACGGGCACGCTGCTGTTCATACCCTCATATCTCGACTTTGTCCGTGTTCGAAACTATTTTGCCAACTCACCCACCATGAGCGACATCACGTTCGGCGCTGTGTCGGAATACACCGATGTCCCTGATGCATCTAGAGCCCGATCGCATTTCTTGACGGGTCGTCATCGGGTGCTGTTGTACACTGAGCGAGCACACCACTTCAGACGGTATCAGCTCCGTGGCGTGCAGAGGGTGGTTTTCTACGGACTGCCGGATAACCCTATCTTTTATCGAGAGATTGCCGGGGAGTATCTAGGCAAGAGTGAGCAGGATCTCAAGATCGAGCCCGGACAAGGAACAGTGCGGGTCATGTTCTCCAAATACGACGTAATGAAGTTGGAGAGAGTTGTGGGATCAAAGAGAGTTGGAAAGATGATTCAAGAGCGTGGCGATACTTTTGATTTCGTGTAGAATACAAGCTTGAGTAGCCGGGCTGGTTGCACGAATGTACAGACAAGTACGTGCTTTCAACCCTAAACATAAGACAAGAGCCCGCTTGAATAAGACCACTACACCCTATTTCTCCTCAGGCGGCCTAGGAATTTTTCATCCTTCAGCTCTTCCACGTCTATTCCAAAAAGAGCCGCAAATACAGGCGCCAGATTATGGGGCCCGCAAGGCCGAGCGTCGCCGCTTGCTCTTCGTTTGTCGAGGAAGTTCTGGAGCAAAGCGCAAAGTGCGCTGTCTAGCGACTTTCCCAGTATAGTATATTTAGCACTAGACTGGTCTGGTATAAGATGGGAGCTGATTTCTACATCGACTGTAGCATTCTTGACGGTTTGCGCCTCGGGGACCGTGAAATATGGTGTGCTGATATAGTGCTCGTCTACCGTGGCGTTCAGTCTCCTTGCTGACGACGGATCCTTGGCAACATTCAGAAGATCGTATATTAGGACGCGGATCTTGTAACCAAGAATACCGTCCTTTTGAAGGGCAGATGTGGTTGGCGGTGCTGTCGGGGAAATAGTTGCTGCTCCAGCAGGGAGCTTTCTTGGTCGCTTTGCTTTAGTCATTATTCTTGCCTGACTTTTTGATATGTATAGCTTTATGTATGCGAAACTTGATTCTGATTGGATCTGATGATATGGTGGGATTGTAGTGTCGAAGCCAAGATGTGAACAAGGAATGAAGAAAAGGTGAATCACTGACGTTTAAAATAGTGCGGCATGGCAGGCTTAAGTATAATGAAATTTTCCAAAGATTAAGTTTGAGCCATCACGTGCATGCAAACGCAGTATTTAAGGTTCCCGACTAAATTCTCTAAGTCTTTTAGTCCTTTACTCTACGGAACTCTGATCTTCATGCAGCCGCCAGAATGCCTCCGCAGAAAACGAAGCCTGCGAAGCAGACTCAGTCTGTGCATGGACGGCAACAACTCTGGTTCTTTCTCAATGAGAGTATGAAAAGAAGTTCTTTCACTCAGGGTGTTTATACTTTGGAAGAGGTCCAAAAGCACACCATGAGCCTCCAAACATGTATCCGCCTGAGTGGAGGCAAAGGAGCTGTTACAGACCATGCTTTTTATATTCATTCTAATAGTATGGCCGCAGCGGTACAAATGCTTAACGATGAGAGCATTATTGCCACCTACAATCTTTACTGTACCAAAGATAATGTGGTAACAGTCACAGTTCGGAAAGCTACTGATCCTTCCCCGAATACATCGCGTACTCCCTCGCACGCAAATTCACTTTCATCCAGACAAACTTTGTCGACATCTCGTGGGTTTAATGTCGGGACTAATGTCCACGAAGTTTCTATTCAGCCAAAAGTAAGACACGCGTCAGAGAGTACCGATATGGAAACTTTAGAGAAGATTGAGGACGAAAAAAATATGGTGTCTATTGTTTCGAACGGAAACATAATGACATTTACCAAGGATTATTTGCAAGGTATTTCCAGAACACTCCTCCCTTCTCTAGTCGGTGGTAATAATTTCTTGTTTTGTCAGGCTGGATTGAATCCCAACTTGTCGACTTGAAGCATCCCACACAAGTCACCGTCCACTCCATTGGACCAAGTGGAATATCGCAAGCGGCCCAGCTTACAGCAGATATATGGCAAAAGAACCTACTGAGAGGGCCATGGAAGGACTCATTTATTCACATTTGGGATACTTTCATCCGTTCTGAGGCAAAAAAAAACAAGAAATGCTTTCACAAATTGCTGCAAATGATCCGCAGTTCCACCAAGGGAGCCTAAACTTTATTCATGATCTGCGAAACTACGGAGACAATAAGGGCAGCAGATCGCGTTTGGAGGGAAATGGCCACAAGTTTTACATTGGACCTCCGTACTTCGGTGCTGCAACAAGAGATAAAATCCTCCAACTACCTAACTATTGCGGAACTCTCCGGCTTGCATTGGAAGCTTTGGAAAGAAAACGAATAGGGGGCACAATATGTGCCTCTCATGACCTATCACCTATTCTTGAGTCCGCTCTTGGTGTCGCATAGGATAAGACACAAAGGAAAGGGGTTGTTAATAGGAAAGAATTTGGAGGCTTGAAGTTTCGAGCAAAGGAAGTCGTGAAGAAAGGCAGCCGATTCTTCGGCGGCAATCGTGAGTAGAGCATTGATTTTCACAATGTTCTCGAGGTTGTTACGGGAACCACTGAGAGAGTTGCTCGATTTAGGGCATGCAGAACTGAACACCAGTGGATACTTTAGCTGCAAAATGGCACAATAAAGTTTTCCCATTCGAGATAGTGCAATTTCCTAGAATTTATTGCCTAATTTCGGTGCGATTGGTCTAGTGTCAAGTTCCAGTAAATCTCAGCATAAGCTTTCATACCTTGTCTTGGGCTGGACACAGTTGATTGTCATGACTTTGGTTTATATAGCCGGAGGGCACCAGGCATTTAACCACGCCGGGTGTCTGACTACCACGCTCTACACTGTAGTTTACTGTAGTCAATTAATGTAGACTCGTTGATAGACAAATATTTTTCTGCCATATATCGTTAATAGAATATACTAGTACACGGCGCATGGTGACGCCCTCTCTACGGTCTTTCTTCTTCGCCACAAACTTATCCCGTCTAACTCTTGGCTTCCTTCTTTTGAGTCTTCACCTCTGCAGCAAGTGCCTGTGCTTTGGAACATTCCTCGCCCGCGATCCGTGCCGCCTCCACACTATGTCCCTCCTCCGCAGCAGCCGCATCAGACGTTTGCAAGGCCAGAAATCGCTGAACCATGTCTTCGAGGTCCTTTTCTCCCCGAAACTGTGTTACTTTCTTGATATTCTGCGCCGTCACGGGGGTGGATTCCTGTCCCAGGAGGCGATCTCTTGCTATTGTCTTGGCCGTCATCATGAAACGTGAGTCCTTGGGGCCGTCGACAAATTCGAGGATGGAGCTCTCGCCTTGGTCGTATGTGTTCTTCGGTTCGGTGCGGACAACACGGGTGTAGCCGCCTTCTCGGGTAAGATATCTGTTTCGAATTTCGCCAAAGAGTTTGGGCAGAAGAACATGGGGCGTCTTTAGCGATTCGGTTAGCTTCATCATCTATCACGTTGTCGCCAGCGCCGCCAACGCCTGCGCAGACGAGGAGTGATGGTGGCCACGGACATAAAGAATTGCCTGCGCTGATCTCCTACAGGGCTCGTTGTTCTTCTTGGCTAGAGTAATTAGCTTCTCTGCCAGTCTCTGGGCCTCTTTTGCCTTTGCATGTGTCGTCTGGATGTGCTCGTACTGCACGAGCTGGGTGACCAGGCCTCGCAGCAGAGCTTTGCGGGCGGATGAGTTTCGGCTGAGATGCCGGTATTTGACGAGACCGCCGGCCATTTTCCTAGCGCTGCGGTCGAAAACCGGCGTACTTGTGCAATTGTTGGCTCTTGGACGTGTCGTTATTGAAGCGCTCGACGATGGACCTTTTCAGCTGGACCGACAAAAAGAGTCGATGGTGGTGTCGCCGAACAGTTTAGGTAGGTGGTGAGCGGAGGCGGCCTGGGATTGGCCTAGCTTGACTAGCCCAGCCACACTTTTGGCCTGGCCGCAGGAGGGAACCATGGCCGGCCCGCAAGCATTGAAATCCGGCTGATTTTCTGAGGCGGCAACTCGCCAAGCTCCGAGTCAAAAACGACGTCAACCGAGACAACGACCGAATATCTTACCCATCATCACCAAGTCCGTCCTCGAGCGCATCCTGCAATCTGCCAATTGACTTGCTGCCTTTGCTGCTGCAGAGCTACACGCCTTCTGCGCATCATGAACCACGCCAAATAGACGGGAATTTGCAGTTTCTTTTGTCGCGCCAATTGCCGTCTGAATATCTCGTGATCCGAGCACAAAAGCCTCAACCCCCCTGCTTGGACCTGGCTCCGCAACACCGACACCATGGGTTTCGTTACCGGCTTGGTGCGTCCCTGATCATGATGATTTTCGCAATTGGCAAACCGTTACCTTGATTCGGCTAACCTAGTTGCTGCAGACTGGTGGCGTCACTCTGACATTATCCCTCGCATATCTCTCCGTCCTCGCTCACCAGCGAAGCCGCGAACAGCAAGGCCGATCTTTACGCTCCCAAGCCCTTGCTATCCAGAGTCTCATCGACCCCATTCCTCAACCATTACCACCCACCCGCTCCGAAGTTGCTGCAGCCAAGCGAGCCGAGGCGGTTGAAGTCGCCAAGGATCGTTGGAACGAGGAGGTTGAGAACGCTGTGAAATGGGTACAGCACACCGACTGGAATGAAGTTCGTGAGGGGCTTGAGGACCGAATTGGCGCTCTATGGGACAGAGCCTTTGGTGAATCGATACAAGACAGCGCCTCCAAGGCCAAGAGCGAGGTTCAGTCAGTGTCGAAGAAGGCCAAGGGCGAGGTAGAGAATGCAGCAGGCAAGGTTGCCTCCAAGGCAAAGGGTGCCTTTGAGAAGACCAAGGAAGAAGGGGAGGATTTCGAGGCCAAAGTGAAGGATAATGCTTTGCGAGCGAGACTAGTTGCTTGGAGGGAGGCCCAAAAGGCCGAGAACGAAGCCCGTCAAAAGGCATCGGAGGCCCAGGGAGCCGTTGCCTCGGCACTGGACAAGGGCAAGGAGAAGGCTAATGAGGTTGTAGGCAAGGTCAAATCTGCTGTCGGCCTCTCTGGTGCTGGTGCTGCCCCTGAAACTGTTGCCCTGCCACCATCGAACCCTGTTGCAAAGGCCCTGGACCAGAGATTTGAAAAGGTTGGCAGTGATAAGCGTACCGTTGCGGAGGTGCTGGCGGAGCGATATACGCCGATGGATAAGCGCGATAATACTGTGCTTCGAGGATTATAGATGGCTTGGGTGGAGGCAGCCTTTTATTCCTCCTCTTTGTAGAGGAATGCAAAAATACGGCTCAGTTGGCGGGATGAGTTGTGTACTACTACAATTTAGAGATTCAATAAGGATCAATGGATATATTGAAATACTAGTTCGGCTTACCTGTGGGATGAAGGCCATGCCATTTTGCCTGAAATGCAAGACAGTGAGTTGAAAGACAGTGAGTTGCGGGATGAGTCCTCTAGCTCGAAGTTACAGGCCGTCATGAACGACAGTTGAGCCACGTATTTCGTGTCAGGAGAGTCGGTATCAATGGCAAGGGTGAATACTCGCTTCAAGGCCGCCGAAAGCTGTAGTGGAGAGCTATACTTTGATGACTTTCGCCTTCTCAGATGCCTGTGCCCATGTACAAACGCGTCATGATTAATCCTGTAGGCACTTTTCCTATAGTATGTTACTATAGGTACCAAGCCGCAGTCCACGTCGTTGGTTACAATCATTAATCAGGTATTCGCCATATCCAGACAAGGTACCCTTTACTGCCTCGCACATGCACTCCAGGGACCAAGGAATGCCTTCTGTGATTACGGTGCAGTCTCCTATTTTCTCGTAGAGGACGCATCTATTGAGTGGAGATATCTCGGGGAGTTGTGAACCAGTCTACCAGGCCGATGCCGTCACAAATTGATGCAACGAATTATAAGCGATCATGGCTATTTACGCCGCATGGCATCCGCGGGCCAAGTTAGATCGACGCTCGCCATCCACCATTTGAGACCTGTCGAAAAATGTCTTCGTTATGCACAATGCCCAATCGATGCCGAGCTGCAGGGCCGTCGTCGAAATCACGGGCACCTGAGAGCACCTGAAAGCCAGCCAGCCTGAATTCCTCAACGCCGATTATCCCCGCATTAGCATTTAGCGAGAGCTGATTGGACAAAACTCAGCATTGATGACCCGACGGCCGTTCCGGAGCGCCAACGCCGTAGTTCCGAGGTACCTCTTGGCTCTGCTGAAAGTGCACACTGAGCATTGTCACTGGGCTTTCCGCACTTGCACCCATCCAGTCAGCCGCAGCCAAACAGACCCGACCAAAAACGACGCATTGCCTTCATCTCCCTTTCGACAACTTTTTTTCCTGCCTGCCTTCAAATCGCCAAACCTCCCATAATCGCCCTTGGTTCTTGTTCAGTGGCATTTCGTCGACCAGCAAAATCGATTTTCTGCAGGCTCCGGCCGTATCCACATCTAGGAGTATATCTGCGTCGCCTGTGTCGCAAGTTCTCCTGACCTCGCCTCCCAGGCTGCGCACGCTGCCACATCTTCTTCACCTGCCATCTTCAACACCGCCTTGTCGCTGGCGGCAACCATACCTTTCGGCAGGAATCAATTGAAACTTGACCCTATCCTACACGATCGTTCACAATGTCTTTCTCCAGTCTCGTTCAGGACCTCACTCTCCGCGATGGTGGCTCTCGCCGACCGGCCCCACCCGCTTCCGTCTCCACGGTCGATGACAGAACTTCACACATTTCTCGAGCCATGTCGTACACCAGCACCGCTGCTACTAGCGTGAGCATTTCTGGTGACATCGGAAGCCAGCTGCATGGCGGCTACTTCCATCCTCTGGCTCGTTCATGGCAGGCTGAACGCCAACTGACCAAGGTGGGTTCAATATGTTCCCCATGACTCTCGGCCCTTTTTTAAGCTTGTTGTCACTAACCACGAATTTATGCTGTAGTCCATGTTCATTTACCCAATCTTCATTACTGACGGCGAGAATGACATGAATTTGGTCCCCTCACTGCCTGGCCAGTATCAGTTGAGCGTCAATAAGCTTGTGCCGTTCCTCGAGCCCCTCGTCCACAAAGGCCTTCGTTCCGTCATGCTTTTTGGTGTCCCCATGAAGCCTGGCACCAAGGATGCTCTTGGCAGCGCTGCCGACGACCCCGAGGGTCCTGTCATCCAGGCCATCCGCCTTATCCGACGCCGATTTCCTCAAATCTTCATCTGCACCGACGTTTGTCTTTGCGAATATACCTCTCACGGCCATTGCGGCATTCTGCGAGACGATGGCAGCCTGAACAACCAGCTTTCCGTTGATCGCATCTCTGATGTTGCTATTGCCTATGCGAAGGCCGGCGCTCACTGTGTTGCCCCTTCAGATATGAATGATGGGCGTATTCGCGCCATCAAGCTTAAGCTCATCGAGGAGGGCATTGCACACAAGACTACATTGATGTCCTACTCGGCCAAATTTTCAGGTTGTCTCTACGGCCCCTTCCGTGACGCCGCCGGTTCCGCACCGTCTTTCGGAGACCGAAAATGCTACCAGCTTCCGCCCAGCGGCCGCGGTCTTGCTCGCCGCGCCATTATCCGCGACATTACCGAGGGTGCCGATATCATCATGGTCAAACCCGCGGGCCAGTACCTCGACATCATCAGCGATGCCAAGGATTTGGGCAAGGATCTTCCAATTGCCGCCTACCAGGTTAGTGGCGAATATTCCATGATCCACGCCGCCGCCAAGGCTGGTGTGTTTGATCTCAAGGCTGCTGCTTTCGAAGCCACCGAGAGTATTCTTCGGGCTGGTGCTACCATTGTTGTCAGCTACTTCACTCCCCAGTTCTTGGATTGGCTGGAGAACTAGATGCACATGTCTAAATGGATTTTATATGATGGTATCAAAAGGCATGGGAAAGGCGTTATGGAGCATAAATGGGATTGGGAACCGAAGCGAGTTATACTATCAGCTGTGTGTTGTGTACAATGGGAAATGTAAATCTGGAAAACTGGCATGGCACATTTAAATAATGGTTGGACACTTTGAATGGGGTGGAGGCATACAGATATACATGAAAATTGCCGTTTTGGCGCAAGTTACTAGTTAAAGTAGCAAATGCCGATCGCAATATTATCTTTTCCACAACACAGCCACCGTTATACCCCTAGACAACAGTATGTAATCGAATTGCACGAGCAGGACAACACCACACCGCCCGCACACAATCACTCGCCCACAGCCTGCAGAGATGGCCGAGGGTAACAAGACTATTATTCATATGGCTGTGTGCCATGATAGTATTTCAAGGAGAAATATGGAGAAGATTGGTGCATGAGTTTTCTTGCAGAAATTGTCACAAATCTCCGGCCACAAGACAGATGGTTACTTCCATCTCAAGTCTAAGACCAATTCTGTGATTGAGACTTTAGACCGAGACGAGTTTTTTCGTCGCATAGCATCTTACCCCCCATTGATCTCTTACTGTCGATCTGCGACCAAAGATAAGTGCTCGTAGTACATCTTCCAAGAGGCTTTCTAGCATGTTGGATTGCACTCTTGCTCCTCCCAATTCACTCACAGGCTTCGCATGGCCAGTAACATTAGAACCCTTTTTTTACGGGCGAAGGATAATTCAACATCGCAAAAGCACATTATATCATGTTGCAACAAATAATAGTGTGCGCTGTACTGTGTGAGGTGCAGTATCTTGATGGTCTAATGCTCCTTTCGGGTGGTTGTCTTGAGCATTACATCAAGGGTGATGGCACAGCCTATAATATCTGACAAGGTGTCTTGGAAAAAGGGTTAGTTGCAGATATGTACAACATATCCGGCGTACCGGCGTGTGATTGATTGTACTCGGTCCGTTACGTTACGATACGTACGCCGCACAAATACCAGCACCCCTCGACGTCCCTGACGGACAACCGTTCGAAACTGCAAAGCTACGTTGAATAAGACTTGGCATCCCTTGGCAAGGTGACAGCCGCGGCCGCATTGTCCACTTTATCTGTCACAAGTTCAATGACTAGGTCTCAAACTGGTACGACGAAGTTGAGGTGTCTAGTGCCTGTAGAGTCCCGGCTCACCAGCCCACTGGTGGTCACAATGACAGAGGGCGGCGAAAACGCAGTGCAAAACTTCAAATCGTCTCCGAAGGAAAGAGAGGAACCACCGTAATTTATAGGTTGCCTGGTGAAGGGCATATAATCGACAGAATATGTGCGTGACAAATGATCGCGGTCTGGTAGCAGGGGTTAAACCCATCTCACGTGTTCTCCCCCAGATGACCAATTGCGGAGCGTTTTGGTGCATCCAAACATTATGGTATCGGCATCTTCGCTGAGAACAGCACCAACTACTCCGTGTTGCTGGAGGAGGGCACATTCCGCTTCTCCTTCGCCGGGGGCAACTCAGGAGACACTCCCAGCAGTCGGTTGATCAAACAGTTTCTTGGCAAGGACAATCCTGACCCTGAAACGTACAGTGGAGCCGCCCAGGGGTACCTAGGTACCTACTCAGTACTTTATGCAATGTCGGGGTACATCAATTGATGTGAATAGCGGGAGACGCTCACGGACTACCACCAGTGAATTCCTCTGTGACCATGCCACAAGCTTTCGGGGCATAGCGGTTGGGAAGCAGAAAGGGCAGAATATATACATAAGAGAATTGATGCCCAGCTGTGTGGTTGTATAAAGCGTTGGCCCATGAACGAAGAATGTCATGGTGTGCGGGAGCCGATCCATCAAATCAGAACATCCCTCTCCCCTGGCTCCACGATTATCGTTGTGCGAACAAGGCGCGAAAGATGGCAGCACACTGAGTAGAACAAAAAGCAGTCGCAGCTAAAATAAGTCGAGGATGTTTGTGTTATACAGCACTGTTTTGACAAAGGAAGACTTTCTCTTCCGTCTGTCGATGTGACCTCAGTACTCGGTCTGTTTGTTTGTCTGTTCCCAATGGAGTGACAACTACGCTGTACGGAGTAACTACTTCGTAAGCCTTTGCGTTTCCCCAGCAAGGGTGGTACGTCAACCGGTAGAGTTGTTTGCACTCGTGTTTGAATGCACCGTCTTGACGATTCACGCACGCAAACCTCGAGCGTTTGACGACCAAACGACTTCAGGGAGGAATTGCCCATCATACCCACGTTTGGAAAGCGCTAGATCCGTGCCTGCCCTCAGTTCTGCCCACACCGTGTTGTTGATGTACAAACAGCCGCCCACCCAAGACACCGATCTACCTGAGGCCTTCCTTGCTGCCTCCTTCCCCTTGATCATTGTGAACCGGAAATCTCCATCTCGGTGCCGTTTCGCCCTGTCGCGGATTTACGCTCCAGCGTCTGTATTGGTTGCCTGAGGGTCGCTATATTTTAGACTTGGAGACGGCAGGAACGACCGCAACAGACCCTTCCAACTCTAGAGCTCAGATACCGGGAGCAAGGCTCGAGCCAAGGAAGCAACATAAGCTGGGAAGGTATGTGCAATGCGTTTCTGACGTGAGTAATGCACTGTACTCCCTACACTTTTCGCCAGTCGCCTGGTTCCATGTTAATACGTGTTATCAGTATTCGCTGCTGCCCGCTTAGGCCAACCAGGACCGTCCTCTCCGCCCAAGTATTTCTCCATCCTAGTCCATAAGTTAGTTCTTTCTTCCCCATCCGTCTCTCTTCTTGCCCCATTCGCTCTACTTCCCTCCAACCTCTCTATATGATAATCCTTCTTGCAGAGAGGAGAGGAGCGCGTGCTGATCGACGACCCGGCATTCTCTTTGCCTGAACACGTTTCTTGCCTTCTCTTTCTCAGGTCAGATATTTACACCGTCGGGTTTCTTCTGTTCACCAACTCTATCCACTCTTTTGATGTGACACCACCGTCATATCTTTGTTGATTCTTTCTCTGCTCGATGCAGTATTCCTCTCGCCCCCCAACCCAAATTGCAGAAGCGCCATCTTCTCTCGTATAGCCAATGGGTAGTTACATTGCAGGACAATGAATCCAAGGGATAACTTGACGCCTGCCTTTTCACAAGAAGAGAATATGGGGCTGTTAGATGAGAAAACTAACACGGATTCCGACAGCGAGGGCAGTGTCACCGATACCGAGTCTTGGTTCGGAGTCACAGTCCAATCCCCAAATTATTCCAAATGTCTATGGACTGTTGCGGATCTCTGGAGCCACCTTCGTTCAGCACCATGGCGAGTGCTCTTGATTCGAGTCGTTGTGTCCTTAATGCCGAGTTTCCTGCAAGGAAGGCATGCCCGCGAGCAATCATGCCCTCCGAAGCTCGCCCCTACAGCATACCTAGACGGCATGAGAGGGCTGGCAGCTCTCTTTGTGTTTTTCTGCCATTACTCCTATCAGGCCTTTACAATTGCAAAAAGCTGGGGCACTGGGAAGGACAACTACCACTTCTTGAAGCTCCCCTTCCTGAGACTGTGGTATCAAGGACCCGTGGCCGTTTGCGTGTTCTTCGTCATCTCAGGATACGCATTATCCTATCGACCAATTAAATTGATTCGCAGCGGCGCCGTTTCTGATTTTTCTACCACCATGAGCTCCCTGACCTTCCGCCGAGCCCTTCGCTTGTATCTACCAACTGCCGTTTCGACATTCATGATCATATGTCTGCTGAGAATCGGTGCCTACGAATGGACACGACCATTCGCCGGTGACCGCATGTATATGAAGAACATAGTCGAGCCTCATCCAGTCCGAATGAAGTCGTCGTATGCTCAATTCAGAGACTGGGCCATTCACATGTACAATTTTGTTCACGTGTTTGGTTGGGACAAATACGGCGGCAGCACATGTAAGATATCCTCTCAAAGTCAGGAAGCTCTGTACCATTGCTAACATTTGGCTCATAGCATATGATGTGCATCTATGGACTATTCCTGTCGAATTCCGATGCTCTTTATACTTGTTTCTTACCATTATCGGCACCGCACGCCTGAGGACTAGTATTCGATTCCTGACTGTCGGCGGAATTATATGGTTCAGCTATCGGCATTCAAGATGGGAGCTGTGTTTATTCCTGTGTGGCATGCTTCTTGCGGAGATGGACCATATTCGTGGTGCCCACATTCCTCCACCTGCTTTGCCCCAGAGCGAAAAGCAGCATAGAATGTCTCACGGTTGGGCCAAGAGTCTATTTTGGACTTCTGTCAGTGTCCTAGGCCTGTACTTGATGTCGCAACCGGATGATGGTGGTGAGGTGGCTCCAGGTTGGGTCTATTTGACTTCACTCATTCCTAAGTGGTGGACGGAAGAAAAATTCCGATACTGGCAATCTGCAGGCGCAGTTGTGTTTGTCCTGGCTGTTGGTCACTCTCGAGCTTGGCAACGATTCTTCAATTCTCCTGTTGTGCAATACTTTGGCAAGATTTCATACGCCTTGTATTTAATGCACGGCCCCGCAATGCACACGGTTGGCTATCATTGGGAGAAGATGGCGTATGGAATTACCGGTGTTGAAGGATATCGGTACAACATTGGCTTTTTTTTGGGCGCAGCCTTTACTATTCCCACGGTCATTTGGTGGGCTGATGTCTTCTGGAGAGCGGTGGATATTCCCACTGTCAAGTTTGCCAAATGGTTTGAAAGCAAGTGTATTGCCAAAAATTGACAGGTTTGAAATGGGGCGGCGGAGCGAACTTATCAGCATGCTAGGCTGACCATGTATTACATGTCGGAACTAGGTCAGTGGTGATGCTTACTTTGGGCCTGGCGTTTTCGGAGCGTTGCTGTGATGTTCCATGGGGAAAGACTGAATGGGACCAATTTTTTTTTTTTTGTCGCCAAATATTTTGGAGCTAAACTTGAACTGAATTTAACAATCTAGCGGTCTATTGTTGCGGCGCATCTCAAAACTGTCCCGCCGACAAGTACAACAGTTAAGCTAGGTAGTGCCAGGTTCAGACTTGTTTATCAGCTGTATCAATCGATATAACATTTACTCTAACTTGAGCAATTGGGTAGGTCTCTTTGTCGTCGGACGGAATAGTTGAATCTTATTCGAGAGAACAGATCCCACCCAAAACCCCCAAAACCAAAATTTATTAATTATTAAGTTAATAAAAAATAAGGTGCTTTTATAACGCCACTATCCATCCCTTGCGTATACTTTCTTTCCAGCAACCCAAGTCTCCCTGACTTGGAGGGTACGCAGCTTCTCAATATCCAAAGACTCAATTGGTTCGTCCAAAACAAGCCAATCAGCAAAGGCACCCTCTTTAATCAAGCCTGCCCTCCCTTCCAGGAAGGCTCCATATGCTGTTGCGCCAGTGAACCCCCACAAGGCCTGATCAAGGCTGAGCGCCTCATCCGCGTGCCACCCTTGATGCGAACCGTTCACGCCAAGCCCCGTGCCGGGGTTCTTTCTAGCGACAGCCGCATAAATGCCGTGAAACGGATTTGGCGGCTCAACGGGGAAATCGCTCCCAAGCATGGGATTAATGTCAAGCAAGGACCGCATGCGATATGCCTCGTTGTCAGTACGCTCATGACCAAGTCTTTCCCGGGCATACTTCATGTCCGACGTAGCGTGGGTTGGTTGGATGGACGGGATGATGCCGAGTGAGTGCATGCGAGCCTGGTCATCGGGGTGGATAATTTGGGCGTGCTCGATACGGAAGCGATGAGTGCGCTGACAGGCCGCCAGGTCGGCGTCTGTGGTGGCTTGGGGGCATTGCAGCTTCAGAGCCTCGACGAAGGCGTCTATCGCGTTGCGGTTGGCGAGGTCACCTATTGCGTGGATGTTGACTTGGTAGCCGGCTGCGGCCCAGGACTTGGTGAGCGTCGTGAGCGTGCTTGCGTTAACGAGGAGAGAGCCAGACGTCCAGGGGTGGTCGGCGTACGGGGAAATCATAGCCGAACCCCAGCTTCCGAGGGCACCATCTATATGCTGTTTTAGTTTTGGGGGGTGTTCGCGGGCGAGTGTTGGGGGGTGGGTTGAGAGTAAAACGTACCGGCGAACAGCTTGACGCTTTTGACGGTGAACTTTGAGTCGTCTCTTTCGATTTGCGCGGTTTCTGAGGGACAGAAGGTGTTTCTTTGGCGGCATTCGTACATGCTGTAGACTCGGAGCGTCCAGTCGTCCGTGTTGGCCATGTCACGGTATATGCTGATATCTTCTGGAAGTGAACTGGCGTCGTGCATGCCCACCAGCCCGACTTGGTTGAGCTTGGATATGGCTGTTTTCACGGCGGCAGCTTTGCTTTTGGCATCAGGCTTGGGCCAAAGCCTCACCACGTAGTCCATCGCGTTGTCGCAGAAGACGCCCATGCCCGGTTCGCGGACGATTTCGCCGCCGGGGATATCGGGTATGTCGGGTGGGAGGAGGTCCAGAACGGATTGCGACACCCATATGCAGTGAACATCGATGCGATCGAGCATCATGTAGGTGCCCCTGAGGTCAGGGTCATGCTCCATGTCGGCCTTTAGAAGGGATTTAATTGTCAGGTTTGAGAGACTTGGGCAAGATGGCAGCTAGAAGACTTACAGCCGTTGGCATACGACCGTAGATGTCCTGATCCCACCCTACGCCTCGTATCCAATGGTCTCTTGTACCGGCACCAGGATTTTTCTTGATGTAGGCCTTGATGCGTGCCTTGGCTTCCGATAGGCTCTTGGCGCCGAACAAGTCGACTGAGTGGAGGAATTCGCCATATGCCATGAGGTGTCCGTGTCCATCCCACAGTCCGGGCATTACATGGCCGTTGATTACGGTCTCGCTGGGTGACTCCCCAGACTTGGCCGACTTACCCTCCTCGTGGCTCCAGACGCGGCTGAACACACCGCCCTGGACGGAGAAGCACGTCGCTGAAGCTTGCTCCTTGTCATGGGTTCGGACAGACTTGTAGCAGTAGGTGACGGGCTCGGCCTCGGCCTGCAAGGGCTGCTGTAGACGCACTGCTACGGCAATGGCTACGGCCATGACAGAGAAGATGAATCCCCAGCGGGGAAGCGGCGTTGAGTACATGCTGCCGGTGGATTGGGGTTGACGCGGCATTTGAGAGGACGGGATGAGATGCTGCTTATATGTGCCTATAGTGTGCGGCGGGGGGGACGGGCGGAAAAGCCCCGGTTACTCAGCCATGATTTAAGTGCGAGAAGAATTGGCGCTGACCGTAATGTTGGCGATTGAGGCGTTTTTTAAGTTTTGAGCGCGTGTTTGGTCTTGACAGGCATGGCAATGTGAGGGCGGTGTGAAGTGAATGTATGCAGATGTCAAGTGCCATGTTGCGGATTGCATGTGCATGCTCCGCATTCGGAGGCGTGACACAGTGGACACTGGGCGGGTGAAGGAACAGTGCAGGGACAGTGCAGGGACAGTGCAGGGACAGTGCAGGGACAGTGCAGGGACAGTGCAGGGACAGTGCAGGGACAGTGCAGGGACAGTGCAGGGACAGTGCAGGGACAGTGCAGGGACAGTGCAGGGACAGTGCAGGGACAGTGCAGGGACAGTGCAGGGACAGTGCAGGGACAGTGCAGGGACAGTGCAGGGACAGTGCAGGGACAGTGCAGGGACAGTGCAGGGACAGTGCAGGGACAGTGCAGGGACAGTGCAGGGACAGTGCAGGGACAGTGCAGGGACAGTGCAGGGACAGTGCAGGGACAGTGCAGGTCAACTATCAATCAATGCATCATGAACGAGAAACCCGGCGCCTGGTTGGTGGGCAGCTGGGCAACTGGGTGGGCGTCCCCCAGTGGCCCTGTCAATGGCTTGGCGCTTGCGGATGCTCCCGCCTTGACCAGGTACCAGCAGCCATCATGGACGACGTCTTGTTCATGGCTCCGGCTCGTCAAATGAAGTCAGGTCTGGTACGTAAATCCCCCCGCCCCCGCAACCATCATGGCCAAACGCACACTCATCACGTCCAACGCAGTGTAGCTCAACACCACATGCATGCACGACGCTCTGCAGGCCCATCATGACTATCAAGCCCATCACGCCCGTCACGCCCCTCTCAGCCGCCGACCTCGACGCCCTCTCCGCCACAGATGTCCGCACCCCAATCACCGCCGAGGCCCTCTTCCCGGCATTGTCCTCGCCGCCCTTCATCCCCTCCCGCTCCCTCTTCAACCTCCGCGACCTCGGCGCCGTTCCCGGCAGCGCCCTGACAACCACGCGCTTCTACCGCTCCGGCTTCCTCGAGGGCGCCAGCAGAGACCCCGAGGCCCTTGCCTGGCTCGCCAGTCATGTCCGCCGCATCTTCGACCTGCGCATTCCCGAGGAGCGCGACAAGGCGCCCGACCCTGTGGTTCCGGGTGTCGAAAACGTCTGGCTCGCCCCCGAGGAAGGGTATCCCATGCCCCCGCTGGAGGACTATGCCGTCGGCGGCGGAGAGACGGCCTGGAAGAAGGAGTATATGAATTGCGCGCTGGCCTATCGCCCTGTCATCCGGAAGATACTAGAGCATGTGCGCGACCGACCCACGGAACCAGTCTTGTTCCATTGCACCGGTGTGTAACTACGATCTTGCCTTTTTTTCCTTGACGACATTGGGCTAATGGCACCAACAGCTGGGCGTGACCGAACCGGCGTGGTGGCCGGCCTCCTCCACGCACTCGCCGCGTCGACTGCCGAGGCATCGACGCGGGACTACATGCTTTCGCGCATTGGCACCGAGCCCGCACGCGAGAAGCTGTTGCACTACGCCATGAGCACGCTGGGCGTTTCGGACCCAGAGACGCCCAGATTTTACAATTTGGTCAGCTTGCGGCCCACGTTTTGGGCTCGCTTCCAGGAGGCCCTCGACGAGAGGTTTGGCGGCTGGGAGGGCTACGTGACCAGCGGCATGGGCTTTTCCGAGGCCGAACTTGACAAAATCAAGCTCAATTTGCGGTCGTAGATTTAACACGGCTTAGATTTGTTGGCACCTTGCACGCCCGTCCGTTCCTTTTCTTTATTTCTGCAAGTGGATTCCACGTCGCTCCGTTTACAAGACGTCACAACATCTGTTTAGACAGAATCAGCAAGAAACTCAAATTTCGGGCACAACAAACATGCCCGCCATCCATAAACCAAAGCTTGGGTCAAAAAACACAGTCTAGCATCCAAACGTCGTCATTCCCAACAACCTGTCTTGCAGAAATTCCAACATCCGCCTCCACCCATGACATCACCCACACACCAGCCACACCAGGACCCTGAATGATACGACTAGCTCCCTCAAACACCCAATCACATGTCCCCTCCTCCCTCCAAGTGACGCACGCAAGCCACAAGAGATCACCACGATTCCAAGTTTTCCAACTTCGTACCGTGGTCCTTCCACCCTTGATTGCTTCAAGATGCCTACTTTCAGGAAGCCGTTCCCCCCCCCCGCGTGGCTGAATCGCGACAAACGGACCACCACACAACTGCTCATCGTACCAAAATACCCTGGCGATGGCATCATCGTGTGGCACGCATGTAGATCGTCAATCTCAGGCTCAAACCAAGGCCCCCTGAGCCAGCTTGGGGAGCAAGCAAAAGTATATAAATGACGCCCATCACCCAGCTATAAAGATGACAGAAACAAAGCAAAAAAAGCCCAAACCACCGTAATACAACAAGGATAAATATTCTACGCAGACCAAAACCAGCAACTTGGCAAGATTCCATCCAACGCACGTCTTCATCTTTGCCGAGCCCATCATGCCTTTTGGACGCAGAACCCATCACCACACGACCACCACCACGGCGCGGGCCCCTCGTCGTGGCCTCTTCTCCCGCCGGCCGCGCCACGTCCATCACCAGAAGCGCAAGCCTACCATGAAGGACAAGGTTAGCGGTGCGTTTATGAAGCTCAGGGGTAGCTTGACGAGGCGGCCTGGCCTCAAGGTACGTTTTGCCCCCTCCCCTCTTCGGATCCTTACAACCCGCATCAGACGAGAGGTATGAGTTCGTGCTAATGACGGCAGGCTGCTGGTGCTCGCCGCATGCACGGAACAGATGGCCGCGGCGGTCACAAGCACGGCTACGTCTTCTAGTGGCGCGAGACGAATCAAAATTGGGCCACGGTGCTAGACCATGACTTGTACGCATCTATTGGCTTTTATCGAATATGAAAGAGATGAAATGTCAGTTGTGAGCGTTGGATTTATTTATTTTTTTATACCCCTGCTTCTACGGCATACACTCCTTTCCACCTGAAGGTTCAAGAATCAATGTAATTAATACTACTTATATTGTGCTTAAGCCATAATACCGTCATATCTTCATGTCCACTAGCATAATGTTTTCCATGTTCCTCGTAATAGCAGATGCCACACGTCCTCGATCGACGTCTCGTAATACTGTCTCCTTTCTTCATCTCGAGTACTAAAACCAACCATGAACCTCAAACATTCACCCATTAAGCAGTTTCATCCGTAAAATAATATCGTCACAGTAGTTCATCAGACTCCCCGAGGACTGCATTCTTGGGTCTACAGTCCGCAGCAAGTCGGATTCCGTTTATTTTCCTTTTCGCAACCTGACTCGATGGCCGTGGGATTCGAGACGGGGCCATTTTAGACGTCGGCGGCTGTTGCACTGTGGTGGTTTTCGTTTGCGTATTTTGGTTTCGCAGCATCTTGTTCGGGTCCTTGGCCGCCAGAACCTCTCCAAGTGAGACATCACTGTTCGCCAACTCGTCTGTATCATCCTCAACATGGAGTCCGGGAAGTTTGTATCTCTGGAATGCTAATTCCAATTCTTCAAGGTCCCTCTTGCTCGGAGATGGGTGCTTTTTCGCAATCCCAAAGTCGTCGTCATATTGCATGTCACGGCCTCTTTTCGATCGTTGCCAAGGTTTTGGAGAGAAAGTCTTTACATTTGCTGGGGACTGCAGATTGACCTGCCGTATCTTGGGGGTTCCGACATCATTTTTACCAACTTTGACAACTATCCTGGCCAGATTAACTTGCCCAACACTCGATCCGCTCCAATCATCAACGTAATCATCGCCATAGCTGGAGTTGGAGTCTCGGTTAGTGCAGATACGCGGCGTAGAAGAGCCAGCTGGAGAGGCCCGCAATATGCCGTTTTCAAGATCGTTTTCAAAATCTTCTTCCGCCTCGAAGGGATTCGTTGAAGATGAAAAGGGCCTCGACTTGCTTCCACGTCTTTCCATAGACATCGCTGACTCTGGGATGTTGGTCTGGCCGTCCAGCTTGCGGCACAAGGTCGACTTTTCATTCAAAGCGACAGGCTTTTGAAACACTGGGCTCCCAATCAGTCGTTGAACTTTTCTCCTATTAAGGTTTGAACCCTCATTCAACCTAATTTCAATCGATCTAATGGAGTGTTGACTTGAATCTGCCTGGCTTAGCGATCGTCTGATGGGTATGCCGGTCTCTTCCAACCGAGTTCTGTTTTCTTGGTCTCTAGCTCTGACCTCAGGGCTAGTCGACTTATTATACATGCGTCCAAAGGCGTCTGACATTCTGGCAAAGACTCTGGAGCTTGCCACGCGATATAGCTTCCGCGGCCCTTGAGTTTTCTGCGGCGTAGGAGGTTTGAGAGCATTTAGTGCGGCTAGCATTTCCCGGAGTTTGTCATTAATTTCTTCCGCGCTCGCCTTATGTACATATCCACCGAGGGCTTGTAAAGATGAAGACCTCTGATCAGCGATTTCCTCCTGCATGGCAAGTGCCGGTCTGACTTGTACGCGCGGATCAAGCTTGTTCTTCACTCTAAAACTCTCTTCTACGTTCGCAGTTGAAGTATCCAACAGTTTCAGAAGCTCCGCAGTCTTCTCTAATGGGGCAGAGTTTGTGGTGTGCCGACGGTTATGCTGAGTACTATAGCTGGAATGGGGAGCCTCAAGTGAGGTTCTCTTAAGAACTGATGCCACTGAGCTTTGGTGTAGGGGCTCGGCCGGTGAAAATGTGACGGGATGCATCTCAAATGGTGACAACAGCGGAGTTCCAAGACCTGCGACACAATTTGGACTGCGTACCTGTGACTTTTTGGGTGCTATGTCGACGATTCCGGGCCGAATATTCTGGCTTCCGGTTGCGCCGTCACGAGATTGGCCGTTGGAATTGACTGGGTCTCTATCACCGTTGTCAGAATGCTTCAAATGTCGACGCGGTGATGTATTGGGAATGATGGCAGGCTCGACCTCGCAAACTGGTCTCGTCGGCGTCGTGATTTCATCTATTCTGATCAGCATATGACAGACTATTGGGCAAGAAAACCTACCGCAACTTGGAGCTGACACTGAAACTATAAAATCTCTGTGCCTACGACGAGACCCAAAAGTGCGTAGCAAACTTCTCTTTCTGCCACAAGTAACCTGTGTAGATGCCATTGTAAACAAGACTCGGCAGATCCCGGAACAAGGCAAAGCGAAAACGATTGAGAACAAGTAATAATATCAGTCGACTCAAAATGAACGCAGAAACGAGTGGACAAGCGGCGAAAGTGCCTGCTTCCTCAGAACGCCGGGAGTGTGCATCAAACTGTGATAAGCAAAACGCCTTCTGGGTTGTGAATCATACGAAGAGGGCTGAAACAACAGTTCGTGAAGGCCATTCTATCACCTCCCAGTTGCGTCACGGGCGTGGCTGAAGAAGAGTGAGAGGAAGGTACGATGCAGATTCATATCATAGAAAAGGGGATATGCATCGAAAGATACCTAGTAGGCGATGAGACGTAAATGCTTTGTAACTGGCTCCTGGAGGGAATATGGAATGCAATACCTCCGGAGGACGACGTAAAAAGGGGGGTTAAGGTTTGAATGGAGGTAGAATTCCATGAATCACAAGATGATACGATTATATTGCACCACCCTGTAGGTCAACACGTGGCATGGAGCGATTTCGGATAGCTAATTTCGAACAGCTGGCGATGGCTTCTTGCCAACTGACAGCCAGCTGTGTGCAATGGTAACCAGGTTATTAGGGGTCGAGAGAAGCTCACATCCTAGCGTGCTCAGCAAGCATTCCGTCCCGTAATTGATCATTTCGTTTGAAACGAGGAGCTTGCGATTGCCTTGCTCTATTCGACAGTATGGCAAGCCAGATTGATTTGATTTTGCGACTAGCTGAGCGGGTTGAATCGTGAATATTGTGGGCTAAGAGTTTGTATGCGACGCTTTGGTATGTACCTAGGTATTGGGTGTGATTAAAACATATTGTCCTCGTCCTTCGTGAACTGAGGCTGGGTGTTCTTAAAGGTAAAAAAAACCGGCACATGGATCGAGCTCTGTCTAGCTCGTTCGCGACTCCCAAGTGAGGTTTTTCGACCCGAGTCTTCGAATTTTGCGATCAAGCACGAGCATGCGCATTAGACTGACCCAATACGACATTGAACCCATTCCAGCCGAAGTAGCGGCCAAATGCTCTCCCAAGAAAATCTCCAAGCCTACGTATACTCAATGACTTCTGTTTCCACAGTCTTCTCTAAAAATTCGTCACATTCCACCCTCGTCATCAACGTTTGATCGTTATTGCGTTCGTTGGGGAACCCTTCTAAAAAGCATCTTGCTTTAGGGCTCTCTTGAGCTTCAACCACAACACTGAAGTTACCAAATCACTCTACAAGAAAGCAAAACCTCCAGAAGCTCTACTGCCATTCAACCAACAATTTTAAAGTCTCATTAAAAAGAATGTTCTATTGTTTAATTGTTTGATTGCCCCAAGATGCTCACGTGATCCCAAGTCCCCACATGAGCTTCACCACGCAACCCCTGTGGTGGCTCGCATGCCGACTATCGCGCTGGCGGCTTGCTGACATCACGACCCTTGATATCAAGGCTGGGGAAAAAAAAATTCACTGCCGCGAGGGATCACCTCCCGCATTCCGAACCGCAACAAAGACCACAGTAGCTGCACGACGATATAGCAGCGAGACGAATTGACCCACCGTCCCAGCGAAACTTTTCTGCTGCGAGTGCGCAAAGCCAACGGCCAGGGAGCCGGTTCTTAAATCCAGTCCGAGTCCGTCCGATCGAGCCGACATTACACATCGCTTGGCTTCGGTCAGCTTCTCAAGGAGTCAGTCATCCGACTGGTAGCTCCCAAGAAAATCACAGCAACGAAGACGTTTCAAAGTTTGTAGACAACACAGCACGGAGGGGGCTTCGTAACAGCTCTTCTACGCACAGGCCTGCAACAACATGTTCCGAGCCGTCGGTCTACGCAGTCCGCTTTTTTCGCCAGCATGGACAGGTGCATGGCGAAGAATGTTTCTCTCCGAAACAAAACGACCCCTTCTCAGAAACCTACGGAGTCAACAACATGCCAGCCTCCACATGCTGCGAAACATCCCACGCCAATCCGCAAGTCGGTCCGCTGGACCGTTCGCAAGAACACAGCGTCGTGGCTTCCGCTTCTCGTCATGGCGCCGCAATACGGCACAGAACGGCACGCAAGAAAAGCTGACGCTTAGTCAGCGGTTGAAGAGGTTGTCAAAGGAATACGGCTGGTCAGCAGTGGGTGTTTACTTGGCGCTGAGCGTGCTGGATTTCCCGTTTTGTTTCCTGCTCGTCAGGATTGTGGGAACAGAAACCATTGGTATGTTTGAGTAGCTATTTCCCATGCCGAGAGGGATTAAAAAAAAAAAGAGCAGCCAAGGGGGCGTATTTGTATGAAGGGGGAGAAGAGTTTGGAGCTGATGCATACTAGGGAAAATTGAACACTACGTGGTATCGACGGTCAAGCGATTTATTCCAGAGTCGGTTCGGCAAAAGTGGCACGAGTATTGGCAATCTATCAAGAGCAAAGAGGTAGAGACGATGGGAAATGACAATATTAGCGACAAGGTGGAAATGGCTGGTTGGGGTGTCGAGGAAGCCCAAGAGCGAAATAAGGAAGAAGCTAGTAAGTGTACTTTTGTTTTTTATCCCACAAAGACGACGTGGACTGACTTTACGGGGTGGTTTGGCAGGCTTGGGTACTCAGCTGGCACTTGCGTACGCTATTCACAAAAGCTTCATCTTTCTAAGAGTGCCACTGACGGCTGCGATCACGCCAAAGGTGGTCAAGGTTCTGAGATCTTGGGGCTGGAACATCGGAAAACGCGTGCCGCGCTAATACTTGGGTTGAGGCTGAGAAAGTCAAAGAGGGGATCGGATCAAACTTGAGTTGTTTACATGGAAGACGTAGATGTATCATGCTGTATAGTATTGAAGATGAGGCGAATAGCTGATCAGCGTCATGGCCTGATGGCTGTCGGACGCGGAGGAAGAAGGCAGAACAAATACACCGCCCTACATATAGAAGCTGAATAACAGATGGACGTTTTACCCTAGTACATCATGGCTGCCGGAGCCCGGCTTGGAGTCATGACAGCAACAATCTCATGAGCGTTTGGTGCCAAATGGGTGCACTAGGCTGAAGCTTGATTGCCATATGTGGAGCGCCAACTCGGTCTCGTTAGCCCAACTCTGTCAGAGTTTATTCATAATTAGTTCGCGCATAATTTGTCTAAATTTACGTAGTGTGGCAAGGCAGACAGACAATAGCTGCAGCATGGCTTGACAATACGTGGCTCATGAATACACACACGCACACACCACGCACACACACGCACAAGGACAGAAACGACGGCGGACGGAGGCGTGCCAAACGGTAAAGTCTAATAAAGCCCGGACATGTGTTGGGCCGATTCTTTGTCTATATTTGCCTTTGCACCAAGGGTGTTTAAACAAAGGAGCCCGGACGGCAATTCAACCAGTCACAGAGGTCAACGGCATGCGCTCTTTGGGGGGGTGGCCGGCGTCGGCTGTAAGGGTGCTTAGAAGCTTTTTTCTTCGCGTATTCGTGTGCGGATTGAACGGAAGACAGAAGGAAAAGGTCATGTGGAGTGGCAAACCATGACAACGTCGGGCTCGCACATTATACTCTATGTACGGAGTACCTAGGTGTGTAATACAACGGAGTACGTGCGCAGCTAACCCAGGTAACTACCGGCGTTTCGATGGAATGTCACCCAGAACCAGAGAAGCCAGGTCCAACTCCACAGATCTCGACTCGATATGGAGCTGAAGTAGCTGGGCGGGAGAGCATGCTGGCGGGAAACACAGGTGTTCCTGACCCATGTGGACGGTTCGGTTCTGGCTGACCTGGGGTCCAGCTGAAGCCAAATGCCACTATTCTGTCACATGTCATCCAAAGCTGGTAGCAATGGCCGCAGGAGCTGGTGGCTGGAGACATTTGATAGCGTGGCCGCTCCGGGCTGTGTCCGCGGCAGGCGATGACCAGAAGAGCAAACAGCTCCTGGGTTGGTGGAGTCGAAATACGAAGAAGGAAGAGACGGAGTTTGCAGATCGAAACCCAAGTTGTCAAAAAAACGCTCTTGGAGCCGAGCGGGAACGTACGGGACTGCTGCGACATAAAAAAAAAAGCATATTTGGGGACTTGGGTGTTCACGACGAAGAGGAGCTGATGTTTGGCTGGCTAGACCGGGGCGCATGTGTGAGCGGCGATTGGCCGTTGTGGATTTTAAACTTTTTTTTGAATCAACCGGCATAATCTTCGTGGAAATTACTTCCTACACCATGAGCTCCATGAGCTCCATGAGTTCCTGCCTGCTAAAACGACAAACGTGACGTAAGGCCGGGGGCCCTACGAGCCTAGCCAGAGTGGGGGCTAGCTCTTGCAGGGAAGGCGCGGCGGGTATTTGCCGGGCAATCAAGCAGGCGAACTGATATTTGACGCAATTACAATATCTTTTCTATTGTATCCCCCATCAACACCCGGCAACATGTCAACACGTCAACCGTTCACGCAACAGCTCCCCTGCCAGCCACTTCGCTGCTGGTTTGGCATCCCATTAGTATTGTACTAGTCGGATCCTCGGGCAGCAGTTAGTCAAGTCACTGACTGCGAATCGCCCAGCTACTACGTACAGTAGCAAGCTCAACTAGCAACATACAATTACCACGGACCAAAACAT